AAGAAACAGGAAAAAGTACATCTCATCTGTGTTTGTCACACATTTAAAGAACATTCTAAAGTATTTTGTTCTTCTAGTTGTTCTTTTCTTTGACCTTTAGAAAGGTTTCAAGTTCAAGAGACATGGTGGCAACAGTTAAAACAACTTTTAAGGTGGCCAAGGACATCCTGACAAAAATCCAATAAAAAAGTTCTTTATGAAAGATAACGAATGTTTAAGAGCCAGCTGGTAACGTCTGTCTTTTCAGTACAAGTAAACCTTGGTCTACAGCTATTTTCATGTTCAACCAAAGCAGCTGAATTGCACAGTCAATGAACTTCAATTACTCTGCTGGCAAGAGATAAAGACATCTTGACCCTTTTTGTATACACTTTATACTGCATATGTTTATGACCTCCCACAGCAAGAGCCTAATATGAAACAGAAGACAACAAAACATTAGCCAGTACACAATATCCAAACCACTGAAGCCTGGAACTGATTCATTAAGTTATATTTGATGATGAAAGTGTATTGCTTTCAGTATGGGTTAACTTTCAAAAACACAAAAGGGGTTTGTTGCAATCATCTGCTAAAGCTAAACAATGTTTATCTGCTTCATATTATCCAAATCATTATTTCTTGCAATAAAAAAATAAGAATGTAGATATTTACATCAAGTTTTTAACTTTTCCCCATTTTCTGTGCATTAGGACCATGTTAGAAGAGTAGACCATCCTGATGCATCATGGTAGAGCTTTTAAACAGTGAGACTGGACCCCTGAGGCTGCAGCACTTTCGAATCAATGGATGACACACATTTAAAACCATGCATTTAAATTACTCCTGACCCACTTACAGGAGCTGAAGGCCAGTGGAATCAATATCCACATGGTGAAGTTTTATCACAGATTAATCAGCTCAGAAATGCTGCTTCACCATATAGCCGTTTTCTGAAGCTGAAGTATCATACATCATTTTCAAGGCAATTATCATCTTTTAATGATAAAATAAAAATAAGGCATTTTCTACCAGGTGTGAAAGTAGAGGATATTTGATCTGATTTACATAGTAGACAGAACACAAGACGGAAGGAATGCCCTGGGATGTACAGTTCCAAGAAAACATTTGTGAACCCCAATACAATAAGGGAATTACACCAATTCCAAAAATATAAACTTATATTTTCTTAAATAACCCCCAAAAATTATTTACCAATTCAATGCGTTTTGAGATAAATCATGAATGAAATAGAAAACATTGAATAATTAAGAATATGTGAATGTGAACCAACATTTGACTTAACACAATTAAGAGGGTAAATAGAACCAGGTTGTAATTAATGGATAACAGTTAATGAGTTTGGGTAAACCTGTCATATATAATTGTCAGAAACTATGGGACTATGGAATTTACCATACAGGTTAGTGGAAAAATATCTGATCATGATCAAAAGAGATTTCAGAGAACCTTAAAAAGAGCAAGTGAGGAACAGCCGTCTAGAGTAGGCTACAAAACCATTTCTAAACATTTGCCAGCTCCATCCACAGTTAAAAAGCTATAAATGTAAAATATTCAAGACCATATTGCCTCTACCTAGAACTAGTCTCCCTAAGAGGAAAATTATCCAGGAAGTAAAAAACTTTAACAGAGTACCATCTGAGGAACGTAAGGGCTTTTTCACTATGGCTAATATCAACTTTCATGCTTTCCTCCTCAGAAAAAAAAAGTTTTTGACCATGAGAAATGTTTTGGATTGTAAAAACCAAACACTGCATTCCAATATAAAAAACCTCATCCCAGACTTCCAGCATGTTGGTTAGAGTGTCATGATTTGGAGCTGCTTTGCTACCCAAGCACACAGAAGGCATCATCATTAACAGAACAGTGAATTTGGTGTTCTGGAGCAAATTCTGGAGTTTAATGTCTGGCCATCCATTTATCTTCTGAAGCTGAGCTAAAAGTGAGCCATGCACAGAACAATGCTCCTAAACATAAACAATTGTTCAAACAATTGTGTACTGAGTAACTAAAGAGGAAGAAGAAATTGTATTTTCTGCCAAGTAAAAGTCCAGACAAACCCCACTGAAATGTTATGGTAGCACCTGAAGCAGAGAGTTTGTGCAGGGAAACCCTCAAATGTCAGTGACTTGAAGAGGCTCTGTAAGGAAGAATGGGCCTAAATTCTTAAAAGTTGATGCAAGAGACTGATAATCATTTACAGTAAAAGGTTTTGCTGAAGTCAATTCTGCTCAAGAAGGTGCCACCAGATACTGAATCTACGAGATCACATACAGTACTTAATCACATAAGGATATAATTAAACTTGGATCATTCGTTAATTAAATAATCCAAATATATATTTTATATTTGGATTGTTATATTTTATATCTTTGTCTTACACGTTTAATCAAGTTATATTCATCTGTATCCATCTATCTTTAACCTTCATGAAGTTCTAATTAGGTATAAATATATATATACACACATATGAGAATATGGATCTGGGGGTTCATAGACTTTTCATCTTAGTGAGGGTGAACTGAATGCTTACTTTAAAAGTTACTGTTATAAAATATGTAATAAGATCAGATGTCTCTTCCACAAAATGTAGTTAATATACTTTCATAATCTGGAGGTCTAACACAGATTTATGTTTCCAAAGCTTACAAAATGAACTCTGCAGCTATTGTTCATCTTCAGCATATCTATTCATTAGTGCCACAGTGTAATGAGTTATTTAATGAAGTTTTCTAAATATCCTGTGGCACACTTGTAGTAGCTTTTATTAAGGGGAAAACATCAGGAAAACACATTAATAATAAAATCAATTGAGTCTGGATAGAGCCGCATTCGAAAAACCACACTATGAGTATCCCACTCATATCATGGTATATAGTCTACCCATGACAGATTATAAATAACCTACAGTAAACCCATGGATTGATTTGGTTCGGGTCACAAGCAAGCCATCCATCTTAACGACTTTAAACAATCTATTTCTGGTCTGACCCACAGCATAGAGCATTTAATAAAAATTCATTTTCCTAACCGCTTAATCATCTTGTTCCTTCATGGCTTTGTATTGAAGAAGGCTGTGTTAAATAAGCCATGATTAATAACTTCACGGTTGTGGCTGATGGAAAGCTTGTGTAAAATTCTCATAACTGTTTCATGCTTGCGGGCAAAGACAAAATACATTAAACAACAGCATCCTCAAGTGGTGATTCAGTTTCTGGTTTTGGATTTGTATTTGTTTCTCTAAGATAAAAACTGTTTTGTTTAGCAGTACAATCTAAGACCTTTACAAATAAAATAATGAGTACTTTAAGATTCTTAAAACCTTTTCTATTTTGGCCCATGAACAAAACATGTTTTAATTTTCTTGTTCGTTACAGTAGGCAAAACCTGCAATACCCATCCATCCATTTTCTGACTGCTTCATCCAATTCATGGTTGTGGGGTAGATCCGATCACTTTTATTAGCCATATACAATTTCTTGCATTAGTCATTTGTCTTTTCACATACTCCAGCTTCTTCTCTATGAGACACACAGGTACACAAACAGTTTTGGGTAAGAGCGCAGGGTCAGCCATTTATAAGGAACCAATAGAGCAGCAGGGATTAAGGGCCTTGCTCAGGGGCCCAACGGAGTAGGATTCCTCTGCCAGCTGTGGGATGTGAAATCAGCAACCTTCCAGCCACAGGCACAGACCCTTAGCCACAATGCCACCCCTCCGCCCTAGCCGAAGCCTGTCCCAGCAAGCAAGGGGCACAAGAAAGGATACACTCTGGATGGGACACCAGTCTATTGCAGGACACATACTGACACAAACACAGATATGCGTATACTCAAACCGGGGGCCATTTTTCTAGAAGCCAATTAACCTGCCACTATGTCTTTAGACTATGGGAGTAAACAGGTGCATCCAGAAGAAACGCATGCAAACATGGGGGGAATATACAAACTCCATTAAGACAGCACCCCAATTCCTTATTTGAACCCAGGGCAAAACAGCAATGCTAGCCACTGCACCACCATACCACCGCAAAATCTATTATATATATTTTCTCTAATTGCTCAAGAGTGCAGATACTGAACAACTTCAAGAAACTCATATAATCCTTACCAAGTATTGATCTGTAACTATGTATTCATAGTGTGTCCATTTAGCGCTTGAAGCAATCAGGGACAACAGTACCTCAGGATAGTCAGGAATAGTGCCAACATGAATGGATGTTTTCTCTCTCAAATATGTCAAAACTGACTAACATTCCTTCTTGTCCTGATTTCTGAGCAAGAGTAATGAATCATGACTAATTGTGTGCTGGTTTCTATTTTAGTCAGATGGAAACTAATGATTAAAAAACAGTATTTAACTAGATAAAGATACTATTGGATTACTTTCATTTTTTTCATATCCTAACCAGGGACTGATTCTCCAATCTTTGATGGTCATATGCCTCATAATTTACAGGTACTTGAATGTGCAACAAATAAAAAAAAACGTGCTTTGTCCAATTATCGAACTATTATCCGAATAGTTAACTCCATTAATTAAAGACCTGAGACAGAATTAAATCCAATGGCCTACAAGGCCTAGTGTTGATCATCAGTTATTATGTATATTTTGACTGAGCAAAATGTATTCACTCGAATTTAAGTTCTGAAGTTTTTTGTTCTTCATTAACGTTAACAAGACTATAAAATATATATTTCTACCAAAACAAGACTTTTTCTGCTAAGCCTTAAATCGTCTAGTTTTATTCCAAGCTAACGAATGATGTTTTCTTAGTTGTTTGACAGGAATAATTAGAGATCAATTCTACGCTGAAAATTAAGATCAGCGTTTCGGTAGTGGAGCTTTCGTGTGGTGTTAACAATCGTTTGAGAAGCATTTAGCTATCTTCAGATAATAACACTATACAAAAAAAAATTGTTGTTGTGGCTGTTTCTGGCAAGTTTTCCAGACTGGAACCGTTACCATGGTAATCGTAAACAAGTATTCACGTGTTACTTGCTGAGTCTCTATAATCGCGTAAGCAACTTGAATACACAAAGAACAAAAAATATTTATTATGTAAGTAACAAAGTTACCATGAATAGAGCCTGTCCTTTCTCATTTTTTCTTTCCAGAAGATGTTAACTGCGATTCAAGTTTATTTTCAAATTTAATCATCGCAAGCAGGAAAGGTAACGAAAGGTAAGTTCACTTCCTGACCCGTAATGTTCTGGAAACTAGGTCATGTTTTACTGTATTATCCATCGAACTAATTTAGAATCGTCTACGGCACGCCAATGAAAGGCGGTATACAAGTAACACTATTCTTTACGCAAAGTTTAATTCCCTCCTTAAAAATTTAGAACGGTTGTTCTTATTAAGAATGTTAATGAAGACTTGTGTTTATAGGGGGGAAAATCAAGTAATGTTATAAAGAAACCTGTTTGCTAATGTGTTTGATTATTATTTTGTTTTAACAAAATATCAGTTGAAAACCTATACCTATTCACTGTATTTTGTTCTTTTTTTTTGCTAGGGACAGAGGCACACCTTTCATTATGTTCCGAAACAGCACTTGGAGAAAGAGTGTGAATGATTTAGTTAGCTGGCATCAAGACCAGGCTTTAAATACAACAATATTTATTCTGCGAGAGTTTGGGCCTACTGGATTTCTTTTGAAAGAGGAAGGGGAAACAAAGAATTTTAAAGTAAAGTACAAAACTATATGAAAAAGCTTTTATAATTAATTGTATTTGTATTCGATTCAGAGTTACAAGCTGATAAATACTGAAATAGGTTTCCCTCTGTTAAACATTAAACAAAACTGTTACTCCCTTCATTTCCTTTTGCCTTTGGGGTAAATTAAACAAGACAGGTATTCAGTCAGCTGAAGCATGCTTTAAACTAAACAGAAAATTCATTGTGAAACTAGTGCATACCCTAAGTCACATTTTTAGATAAGCTATGAGTTAGTTAACGAGTGAGATTTGCAAAATGATAAAAGCTGGCCAAAAATCAAAAGCAAGTATTACTGGCATGAAATGCTAAGTTAAATGTGCAAATTCAAAAACATTTTTAAAAGTTGTGCTAAACCATAGCCTAGAACATTTTTTTATAATCATTCATGTGCATATTTAATTAATTGGTCTTGTTGAAAAAAAACATTTTATTTTGACATTTGTTGTACGTGAGAAAAAGTTTTAGTTGCTTATTTTTTGCAAAATATGACTTTTCTATTAACAGTGTGCTAGAAAGCCTTAATTTAAGGCAGTGCAACCTGGAGAGACATAGTAGTGTCCCCTGGATTTCATTGCAGCTGAGCTCCGGGTGACTCAGCTTTAATGACCTAAGACAAAAAAAATGTATTTTTTATTGGCATAATAATTTAAAAACTTTTCCCAACTCTTCTTGTGCCGATGCTTTGAAGACACCTAGAAAACCTGTAGATACACCAACTGTAATGGCCCAGGATTGGGCACCCCTGTTAAATAAAACCCAGTCCTGTCAGATATTTCTGATAATTACAGATTGAATAACATATTTCCTACCTAATAACCTAATTCCCCTTTCTCTCATTTCCTCACTTAAAATAGCAGCACACTAAGATGAAAAAGATCTTAGAATCTCATTTTCAAGCATCTTAGCTTTTCAGGAAAACTAAACCTTACATGCAAATTTAGACATTTTTGCAATATCTATCTTAATATTGGGTAAAGATCTGTAAAATCTTTTTTCTTTCAAAGGTATGTTTGGGAGACCCTCATAAGTGTACGTGCTCTGCATTTCTGAAAGAAAAAGACCTTTGCAAACATATCTGCTGGTAAGAGCACATAGTCTTTACAATTTCTTTACAATTTCTTCCAGCAATTTTTTTTTACTTGTGTTTCACTTTATTTCTTTTTTGTGAACAAATTATTTTCCAAATAGAACCAAACACAATACATATAGAAAAATAATATTTCCCTTCTCCTCACAAAACCCTTCATCATCCATTGAGTTTCTCTCAGTATCTACATTATGGTCAAACACCTACTGTACTTGCAAAAAGAAAATGACACATTCAGCAGTCCTAAGTTCCATTTAAACAATATAAAATAGGACAGGCTTCAGTGATATCAGGAGACAGAATGCCTTTCAACACTGTATATTGCTGTATGTAGTTGATACAGTATATTGTAACAACAATATAACTACATATTTGCATACAGTGTACAGTAAACAGTAATATGGGTAGAAGAAATAGACCTAGATATTTATATAGGTCTAGACATTTCCATTTCTCATCAACTTTTTACAGTTTTTAATTTAAAGTTTACAGACAACATATCTGAGCATTTTTCTAATATTTTTTCAAGGGTTTTATTGAGAAAATTCAGACTACCTCGAGATCATGAATGTAAGTCTAAGTTTAAATCTTTTTTTAAGTTTATTGACAAGGCAATGCAGAAAATTAGGTTTCCAATTTTGTCTATTTTCAGAACAACGTAAACAAGTTCTATTTTAATTGTACAGTCTTTTTTCCCTGAAATAATTACAATAAAACAAAAATATTGTATCCTTTTAAAAGCATCTGAAATTATTTTCAGAATTGCCTAGCTGTTCTATATGTTATTACATTAATTTACTTAATGTAAAAGTCCTTTAAACCCATTAATACATTTAAATATTAAAATGAAAAGAAATAATACTGTCCCTGCTGGTCCTATTTTTATGGTAATTATTATTTTAAATATTTTCATTCTTATTACTGGAATTTTAATTTTGCTTTTGAAATATGAGCTACATATGTCTATGGTTTTAGTTCCTGTAATTTTGACCATATTCGTGATTAATTGCTTTTTGAAACAATGCATCAATATGCTAGCAGTGTTCATATTTAATTTATTATGTTGAATTCATTTGGAAGTGGACTACACTTTATTTTCTTGATTCACTTCAGTGTTTACAAACAAGAAGTGGTCCACCTTCATTAATCATGTGAGCTCATCTATTATACCATTTTCAGTTCTCCCAGTGGTCACAGTTTAGTTCAGTCCATTTGGCCTGGCAATCACTTTGGATGTTCACATTGTTCCCCAAATTAACTGAAATGAGTCTTAACAAAAGCTCCAGTGTGAAAATGCCCAATAAAAAGGACTGTGGAAAGCAAGACATGTGGTAAGTATTGATTTTTCCTCTTTTTTTTTTTGGCAGACAGTTTCCAACTGGGCCTGGTAGAAAGAACAATAGCCCAAGTACTTCAGGGAGAGCACAGCGTGCAGACTCCTCAGCCAAAAGAGCATTCATCAGAGCAGAAGCAAAGCACAGCTGAGGAAGACGGCTGTGTAAGACAGAAGGAGATAGCCACTGAAGACATCTGTCCCATTTGCCAGGAAGAACTGTTAAAGAAAAGGCTTCCTGTGTCTTACTGCAGGTGAGAAAACTATCAGCTATGACTGCTAAACGGAAAACTTTGTTAAAAGAAC